GGTGCGCGCGGGAGTGTAAAGGGCAGAGCGCTGCGGGAGGACGGCGTGCGAGCGTGGAGGGGCAGCGTGTTTCGTGGGAAAGGTGAGTGTGAGCGGTGTTCCGCGGACAGGTGGGTGAGGGCGAAGCTGAGGGCGTCGCGGGCCGCGCCGTGGCTGGGCCGCCCCGAGAGGAAAGGCGGCAGCCTCGCGTTTGGGCAGGTCCAGGGCCTCCCAGGGCTGGGCTGGACGCGGCTCCCACCCTCCCCTTGTTTCAGCTTCGTTACCGGGAGGGGCCCCCTGAAAGTGAATCAGCGGGAAGGCAGCCCGAGCCCTGAGTCTCAGCGAGGGAGAGGCCCCTGCGGATGCCTCCCAGGCCACCCCACCCCGCTTCCCTACTCTTCCTGCCCCGGTCTCTCTTTGTGCCCCTGTCTCTCTAGGTGCCCTTCCTACTTCCCTCCCATCTTTGGTGCTGACTCGCCCCTGCAGACTTGGGTCCCATCTCCTTCCTGGGGAGCGGGTCTCCCCGAGCCCACTTCTGTGGGACCTTGTAGACCCTTTGGACCCGAGAAGAGTGAGAACCCATGGAAGGCAGGAGACCTCAACCTCTCCCATGCCCTTTGACAATTAAGTAAGTCGAGAAATGCCAACTGTGAAAATCCCCCCTCTTATCTCCATCACTACCAAGATCTTCTGTATCAGGCCCACCAGAGGTCTTCAGCTCCAGACACCCTTTCTGTCCTCAGTGCCCAGCTCCAAGCATCTTTTCTGTCTTTTGGACCAAATCTCCCCTCAACCTCTGTATCCCCAGGACCACAGCTCTGAGTGATTCCCTTCCTTTTCCATTCTCAGGTTACCCTTCTGTAAACTGAGGAGAGAGGTGGTCAGACTGGATCATTTCTAACCCTTCCGGGGCTCTGTGTTGGGACAGGTGGGAGAGAGGTGTCGAACCTGGATTTGGCTGGCGGGGAGCTGATGGTCGTCTTTGCTCCCAAGAACCTATAGGTCTCCTTGCTCACGGCTCTAACCAATGTCTCTTGCTCCAGCTGCAGGGCACTCGGTGAGGTGTTTTGGTTCTCATGTCTCCTCTTTGGATCCCATCACTTCTTCTGCCTGAGGACATCGTGAGAGTGGTGGTCCTGTCCCCATCCTACTCCAGGATACTTTATGCATTAGGGTTTTCAGGTAGGTGACAGCCAATCCTACCCAACTGGCTCAAGGGAGAGAGAATCGTTTCACATATAAAAATAGTCTTGGATATGGCTGGCTTCAGCACGGTCTGTCCTTCTCTGTCCTAAGGAATAATGTCTCCCCTCATGTTGCCTGATGGCTGGGGTCTGAAGTGGGGAGTGGTTTTGTGGGACTAGGCCCTTGACCTGTGGGGTCTCATGTTATCCCCAGGTAGATGATGTCAGAATTGAGTTAAATTGTAGGACATCCAGCTGGTGTTGCAAAGAATAGCTTGGTGTGGAGAACCCCTCCTCCCCCACAATTGGTGACCAAAAGTGTTGTATAGTAGCAGTGTGAAAATAAAAGTGACACAGGAGAAAGACACAGTAGGGAAGAATTGTGTGTGTTTTTCTTATACAGAAGGAAGACTGGATGTTTTGTCCCCTAATATACATTCCCTCTCCTTTTATTCCTCCCTAAAAAATCCTAATTTGGGCCAGGTATCTACCTTGCTTTAATAGCCAGATGATGTGGGGGAGGCACTAGGAGTGGGGTCTGAATATAGTTTGCCAAATACTGTGGTTCCTTGACCCCTTCCAGTGGTTGCTCTAGACATGGGTGTATGTAACAAGTCAGGCAAATACAACGTGAGGACAAGTCGGGCTGTACATTTTGGGATAATTTTTCTTTGTTTTAAAAAAGAGACCCAAGTAGAGATGGCCCTTTGTTATTGCCTCTGAATGCGGGTGTGAAGTCTGGAGCTGCAGCAGCCATCTTAAGGCCAGGAGACAGACAAGCCTGAGTGGTTTGTCTGGACATAGTGGAAACATTGAACTAGTAGTCAACCCAGGAACTGCCCTAACTCATGATCTCTTATTATCTGAGATAATCAATTTCCCCATCATTTCAATCATTTTGAGTTGTGTGTCCTGTTACATACAACCCTGGCCACCGTATTGTCTATGATTCACGCAGAACCCATGGAGGCAGCCCTGCTTGCAGATCAAAACATTCTAAGTGATAGTTTTCTCTTCCAGTCACTCCCCCATCCATGTGATAGGATCTCTCTCACAGAGCTTGTTTTCCTAGCTCTTGCTGAGGGAGCTGCATGCCCTGAGAACTGTAGGAGCAGTGGGTGCATGTTTACAACTGAACAACTGTATGTAGTGGTTTCGATGTGCATTCCCTGGCTGTAGTAGCAGAAGGGGTCATAGGCAGAGCCCTGACCCAAACTGGACCCCATCAGAGTCTGTCTGCTAAAAGCTTAGAACCGGGCCCCGGTTGTTCTTGGTACTTGACATTTCAAGGGCACCTTTGGCTACTATGTGTGAAGCAAAAGAAGGCAGTCTGTGGAGAGACGGAAAAATAAAGTGGAAGCCCACGAGGGAAGCCACACATTCAGAGAGAGAGAGAGAGATTTTGCAAAAGGGAAACAACCTTAATTTCACACACAGCTTTTCAATTCTGTTTCCTGTCCCTGGTGAGACCTGGAGACCTAGCTCTTGCCTGGATTCTAAACTTCTAATAATGTTGTCATTTTTGCTTAAGTCAGCTGAAGTAGATTTTACTTCTTGCAAGCGAGATCCCTGAACAAAATCTTGGGAGCCAGTAACGATGAGGCCCTGATTACAAGCTCTGGTGTAGAACCTTATGAGAGATTTATCCGTAGCCTCGATGTCTGCTATAGGGCCTCCAGTCTCTGTGTTGGGTCTCATGGGACAGTCAGTCCTAGCCTCAGTTCCTGCTGAAAGGCATCATGGGAAGTGTGGTGCTAGCCTCCAATCTTGGCACCACGGTGGACATAATTCCAGCCTGCAATTTCTGGGGAATCATGGCAAAGGTGAAGCTATCCTCAATTTTAATTATGGAGCCTCTCAGAAAATGTCATCTTGGCCTCATCTCTGCTGTGGGGCATCGTGGGAGATGGAGTCCATGCCCAATTTTTGTGGTAAGGTACCACAGAAGATATAGCCTTTATTTTCTTTGTTCCCACCTTCCTTCCTTTGACACCTACCATGTCCCCGGCACTATTCTAGGTACCGGGAAGACAGTGGTGAGCAATCAAATGGCCTTTCCGGTTGATCACTGCAGCTTAACAAAATAACCCAAACCCAGTGCTGTAAAACCACAACTGTTTGTGTTTTTTAAAATATGTTTGTTTTTTTATTGATTTCAGAGAGAGGAAGGGAGAGGGAGATAGAAACATCAATGATGAGTCATCATTTGGCTGCATGCCCCCTGCTGGGGATCAAGCCTGAAGCCCCGGCATGTGCCCTGACAGGGAATCAAACCGACAGCCTCCTGGTTCCTAGGTCCATGCTCAACCACTGAGCCACGCTGGCCAGGCAACCACAACCTTTTCATGTTATGACTCTGTGGGTCAGGAATTTCAGCAAGGCTCAGCAGGAGCAGTGCGTATCTGCTCCTCTATGGACTGGGGCCAATACGGGCCACCTTGAACAGCTGGAGACGGAGGGGATGGCTCACGAGACCGTATATCTGAAACCTTTCTTCTGGCTATTAACTGGCATTGTGGGTTGAATTGTGTCCCCTCGAAATATATATTGTAGTCCTAACCCTCAGGATCTGTGACTGTGACCTTATTTGGAAACAGGGTCTTTGCAGATGTGATTAAGATGAGGTCATACTGGATTAGGGTGGGCCCCCAAATCCATAACTGGTGTCCTTATAAGGAGAGAGAGACTTAGAGATGCACAGCCACATTCTCAGAGAAGAAGGCCACATGACGACAGAGGCAGAGGTGGGAGTGATGTCGCTGTAAACCAAGGAACACCACAGATTGCCGGCAGCACCCAGAAGCTGGGAAGGGGCTTCTTCCTAGAGACTTTAGAAGGAACACAGCTCTGCCAGCACCTCAGTTTTGGACCTCTAGCATCCAGAACTCTGCGAGAATAAATTTCTGTTGTTTGAAGCCACCCAGTTTCTAGGACCTTATTATAGCAGCCCTAGGAAACGGAAGCAGCTGGGTTTCCGCCTCTTGCACATGACATCTTCTGGGGCTGCCATCTCCAAGGTAGCTCCTTCGCCCCCGTGTGTGGTGCCTGGGCCGAGGGCTGGAGCAGCTGCGGCTCTCTCTCCATATGGCATCCATGCATGAGCAGCCTGCGCGTCCTCACGGCACAGCAGTCTCCGTGCAGGGGACTTTCACATGGCAGCTGGCTTCCCAGAACCGGACGGATCCCGAAAGCCCGGGCCTGGGCCATGCGTGGCAGACCTTCCACCACATCCTACCAGTCAGAGCAGTCACAGGGCCACTTGTGTTCAAGAGGTAGAGAGAGCCCCCATCTCTTTAGCCACCACAGTGATAGCTGGTGACATTGTTTTGAGGAGTCCCTAAAAGGAAACCCTGCTCACCTAGCCCCAAAGACCATGGAAGATGATTTACTTTTTTTATTCATTTTCCATAGGGCCCCATGTAATTTTTTTTGTCTCTATGGGTTTGCCTCAGAGAACCACAGAAAATGTGAACAATTCCATAGTGTGCTCCAAGAGCGCCACTGAAATGGTAGTTGGTTTGTCAGTGAGTCAGAGGGTATCCTAGGAAAGAGAGCCCAGCCTTTACCTCCTGGCCCTAGAGCACCAGGGGAAATGTAGTCCTGTCCTTGTTCCTCACTGCAGTGCATCACGGGAGTTCGGCGGGCAGGTTGTCTCCCAGACACCTCCTGTCTCAGAGCCCGTGGAAATGTGGACATGTCTCCGTAGAACATCAAACTAGTCTTGGCCTTTGGAGTTTGGGAGAAGAGGCTGGAAGGTTAGTGCTCAGATGGGTGAGTTAGAAGGTTGCATTTGGAGCTCAGAAATAGATGTGGAGGTGGTTTAGGGTGGGAGCTCACACTGGACTGCTCCCAAGGCGGAGGCCTTGACCGCCTGGCCCTATCATGTGACCCCTAATTCCAGTAGCCTCAGGAAGGGTGCCCCATGCATCCTTTGAAAGATAGATGCTATGAAGAAAGGCAGATCTGACTCTGTTCATTGGTATGAATATCTTTATGTAAGTATAAAATATTAAATAAAACAAATATTAATTAAAATAACAACAATAGCGGCAACAATATTAGTAATAACAAGAACTCTTCTGCTGACCCGCAGCCTTTCTCCAGCTTTTCTCCTCTGGTTCTCATAATTCTGCGAGACAGACAGTTTCACAGCTGGGAAAACTGAGGCCCAGAGGAAACAGCACACTGGCCTGAAGTCACACTGCAAGTCTGCAGGCCTGGGAGCTGTGGGAAGGCAAAGGGGTCCCCTGGATCCAGCCAGGGCAGGGAGAGTGTAGTTCAGGTACAGAGGAGAGGGCCTCCCCATAGTCTTGCAGTCACAAGTAGGGTGATGGCGAGGCTGAGGTAGGCAGGGCCTGGCCGGGGGGCGCCCCCTCTGCGGGACTGGGCATCCTTGGTTGGGTGATTACAGCCATTTCCAGTACAGCATGAGACGTTGAGATGGGTCAACCTGAAGGCTTCAGCCACATGGAGGCCTTGGCACCATGAGGGCGCTGCACAGCCTCTTACTATGTAGGGTGGTGCCCTGAGCCCTGAGGAGAGAGAAAACTGTGTCAGACTCCCTGCTCTCGGGCCTGAGCTTCTCACTGGGTGACAAACCACCCTATGGAGGATGCCACCTGGAAAATGCAGAAGTTCTAAGTGTGGTGCAGGGGATCTGTGAAGTCAAAATTATTCTCATAATAATGCCAAAACATCATTTGGCATTTTCATTCTCATGAGCGTACAATGGGGCTTCCAGAACCAACAGGACATGTGATCTTGCAACAGACTGAATGCAGGAGCAGATAGGAGGATCCAGCTGTCTTCTATTAAGCCAGACAGTAAAGAGACTTGCAAAAGTGTAGAATAATGCCAGTCTTTTCATTAAATTTTTTTGTTTTCAAAAATGTCTCTTCCCCCCCCATAAAAATATGTTCACATGTAATGAGTTTGTAATTGTGATTTAAAAATAAATTAATAAATACATCTTATAAAAATGTCTCCGTTTTAATTCCTAATACAGTCAATATCTTATAGATATAACTGACATAAACAATGATTTTTAAGAGTGTAAAGGAATCTTGAGACCAAAAAGTTTAACTACTGGAACAGAGACTTTCCAGGATGTCACAGGATGGGAGTCCCGGGTGTCTGTAGGAGGTCCCATCCCGAAAAAGTCCACATTTCTAAGGCCGAAGGATCCATTTCCTAATGGGCAAGTCCTAATTCCTTACTACAATCTGCACCCTGCTGAAGGGAGCCCCATAGGAAGATCCACCTCAGTTAAGTCCAGCTAAACTGGAAGTCGACCTCTTGCAGACCCCCCCCCCCATTAAATATCCCTCCCAGTCTCCCGCACAGCCTCACCATCGGTGCCTGTGGCTTCCAGACATTGATTCATGGGGCCCCGGCAGGCAGTGAGGGAGGTCTCCTCGGAGGAACATCCATGGGTGCTGTTCCCCTGACAGCTGTAACACTGAAGGCCATTCAGTGGCAAGTTTTGAAGCTCCAGGACTTGGGAGAAGACAAGAGACCAAGGAAATTAGGACAGGGTGGGGGTGCAGGGAGAGGCGCCCTTCCTTACACCAACTCCCAGCTCTCTGCCTGAGATGGTATGGAGCCCCCTTGTGGTCGACATCGAAGTGACACTCTCTTTGGGGGTTCTCTGGGGCCTGTGGGAGAAACGCCAGCTCTGGGGTCCCCCAAGAGCCCCTGTTTGACCAGGCACTGGGTAAGCAGCTGGGTAAGATCAGACAGTCCCTACCCTGACAGAACCTACAATTTAGAGCAACACTGTCCCATATAGTGATCATTAGCCACAAGTGGTTGCATCTACGCTGAAATTAATTAATAACAATGAAATAAAATTCAAAATTCAGTTCACATGTCAAGTGCTCCATAGCCATTTGTGGTAAGGGTGACCAGACTGCACAGTAAAGATATAGAACACCTCTATCACTGCGGAAAGTTCTGTGGGATAGTGCTGTTTCTTAGGCACAGAGTGACACAACGGATCTAGATTGTATTGAAGGGGAGGGGCAGCGAACGTTTCCCTGAGGATACTTTAAAGCCGAGACCTGGGTGAGAAATAGCCAGCCAGGAGAACTCCCCAGGGAGACGTCCCTGGTGGAGGGTGCTGCATGTGCAAAGGCCGGGAGGCAGGGCAGCATTTGGCAGCTGCAGAACTAAATAAAGGCCATGAGGCAGGTGGGTGACAAGTTACATAGGGCATAGTGTGGCCTTTGGATTTTATTCTAAGAGCAAGGGGAAGTCATGAAAGTGCTTGAGGAAGGAGAGCAACAAGACCTCACTTACATTTAAAAATAATCTCTCTTGCTGCTGTGTTGAACACTGGCTGTAGGGTGTCAGGGGGACCGGAGAGGAGGCTATTGCAACCATCTAAGCAAGAGGTCTGGTGGCTTAAACCAGGGTGGGGGGCAGTGGAAGGGTTCAAGAGGATGCAGGAGGCATCAAACGTGGGTCTTGGTGAGGCCTGATGGACTCACTGAATTCCCACAAAATCCTTCTTTGAAGGACTTGCTATACCCATCTTTCCGAGGAAGAAAAGGAGACCCAGAGAGAAGGGGTTTGCCTGCAAGAGAGCAGCGATGTCCCTGAGTGCACCTCCCTGCCCCGTCCCAGGCCTCACGCTGGGTCCCCTGTCCCTTACCTGGGCCCCGGTTGCATTTGGTGGTGTTGCAGCACCGCAGGAAGTGGAAAGTGTGGTTGTTGTGAAAGCCGGTGGGGCCCGGGCAGCCGGGAAGGTTGCCACAGCCTCGGGAGTAGCGCTCATCTTCTGGGCTGTCTGTGGAGGCAGAGGAGAGACGTGAGATTGTCGGAGGGCTGAGACTGGATTTGCCCACCGCAGCAGCCATCTGTTCGTTCTCTGCTCCACCCTTCACGATAGGAGCCTCATTTTCTGTGGGGCAGCCATGTATCTAGCCAAAGACACATTTTCCAGCCTTGGGATCTATAGTCATGTGGCTAAGTTCTGGCCAAGGTGATATAAATAGAAAGGTTTATGGGACTTCCAGAAAGAAAAACCTTTACAAAAGGAGAGGTATCTTTATTTTCCCCCTTCTTTTCACCTTCCTTCTTCCTGGAACTTGGACATGAGGCATGGAACTCTGGCAGCTATTTTGGACTATGAGGCAAGCTTAAGAATGGAAGCAATATGTAAGAAATGAGAAAGCATCTGGGTTCCTGGTGACTGTGGAACTGTCCTTGTGGCCCTGAACTTCCTATCACTGGACTTTTTGTGACAGAACTGATTTTCTACCTGCTTATCACTTATTTTGGGGATTTAAGTGCAGCCTCTGGAAGGAGCAAAGCAGGGAGGAGGAGTTGCTGGCGGGTTAGGGCTCACCTTCCAGGCTCCGGTGGGTCACCACCTCCAGGCACTGTTCCTCAGGGCTGCGGCATTGGAGGCTGTTGTCCCATCCCCTCTCACAGCTCAGGTCCGAAGAGGCGCAGGAAACACACTCGAGGTACCGGCTTCTTCGGGGAAAGGTGGGAACCCGGCCTGATTGGGGAGGGGCAGGAGGGTGAGTCCGTAGGGAGAGTCCTGGAGATCCAGCTCCTTATCCCACTCTTCAGCCAGTCACCAAACCCTGGCCATTGTGAATCTTTCTAGAATCCATTCCCTTCTTTCTAGTCCCATAACCAGATCCAGCTCAGACCTCCTTCAGTATCAGCATCCTCCTTGGCCTCATGGTTTCCATTGTCACCACTCCCGCCCCAGCCCCAGTGCATCCCCTCATGGCCCTGAAAGAATGTTTCTAATACTCAACTCTGACCCTGTCTCTCCTCTGCTCAAAACTCTTCCATGGCTCCCCAGTGCCCTCAGCATAAAATCCATGATTCTCTGTGTGGCATTCAAGGCCCATCAAAAACTGGGTCCTGGCTACCTCTCCTGCCTCATCTCCCTCCACTAATCCCTCAGACTCTACTCCACACAACTTCCCACAGTCCCCAAATATACATGCCGACACATCTAGCCTTTGCATCTGCTGTTCTCTTGCTCCCTACTTTCCCTATCTCCTACCTATTCTTCAGGCATCATCTTCTCTAATTTCACCTCCCTCAAGAAGCCCTCCCTGACCGTTTAGGCTGGATCAGGTGCCTCTCTGGGCTCCCCAACCCAAGCCCTGCTAGCTCTGGGTCATCCCTGTCTAGTGACAGGCTTGTTTCCCTCAGTGAACTCTGAACCCCAGGAGGGTAGGGCCAAGGCTGTCTTCGTCACTACTGTGTCCCAACACCACCCAGCAGAAGGCCTGGGCCAGAGAAGATATTGAATAAATATTTATTGAATGAATGAATGAGTGAATGAACAATTACTTAAAACCCTTTTATTGTTCCTTGTGGTAGCCAGTCTCCAACACAGCCCCCAGTGACCCCTGCTTCCTGGCATTTATGCCCCTCTGTAGTCCTTTCCCATAAAGAACAGGGCTGACCTGTGCAACCAAAAGGATACAGTGGGAATGATGGTGTGTGATTTCAGCGCTACACTGCAACTTTTTCCCAGCTCTCTCTCGGATCACTTGTTCTGGGGGAAGCCAGCTGCCATGTTGTAAGGACACTCAAGCAGCCCCATGGCAAAGTCTACATGGCAGGAACTGACACCCTTGCCAAAGCCAAGGGAGTGGATCATCCAAGCAAGTGAAGCTACCTTGGAAGCCTTCAGATGCCTGCAGTTCAGCTGTCATCTTGACTACAGCCACATGAAAGATCCAGAACCATCTCAACAAGCCACTCCTAGATTCTTGGCCTTCAGAAACTTTATGGAATAATGTGTGCCTATTTTTGTTTTAATTTTTGGGGCATCTGTAATGCAGCAATAGATAATTAATACACTGCCCAAGTGCGTCAGGGATCAATGCTTCACTTGACTGATCTGTGGTAACTTTGCTTTTCACATGGACCTTCCAGGTTAGGCCAAGTGAAGGAGTTACTTTCCCTGGATTCACCAGTCATTCCTCTGCCCAGGCCTCAGCTCACACCATCCCCAAGCCTGACATGCCCGCTCTTCCTGACCCCAGATATCCAAGTTGAGTTGGGGCCAAGTCTCAGAGAAATGAGAAGGCTGTCTCAGCCAAGGCTCTCTGCTGGCGAGCCAGCAGCTGCGATTAGGCAAATCAATGACATCAAATCTCCCCGAACCTGAGAGATAGATAACTAAAAGGCCACCATCCCATGTCTTCTCACATAAAACTGCATGAAAATGAAAATATGAATTGCCACCATTGTTAAACAGCAATCTCATACCAGCCATGGGTCCCCTTTGGAGACTCTGCTTACATCGCTCTTCTAAATGTGTGTGATCCTCGGGGCTCTGTCTTCGGCCCTTTCCATTTCTCGTGGTGCACATTCTCTCCCATGGGAATGTTGCCCATGGACATGGCTTCATTTCTGCCTACCTCCTGGGATCTCATAAGTCTCTCTCCAGGCAAGACTTCTCTCTGAGCCCCACATCTATACACCCAAATGCCTCCTGGAGGCCCCCTGGTATCCCTCAAACACCCGAGTCTACATGCCCCAAATGAAACTCTCCATCTTCTCCCCAGACAGGCTCCTTCTCCTGAACTCCACATCTCTGAGGTCGCCCCATCCAGTCCTCCAGGGCAGAAACCTGGCAGACTCCTTGACTCTCCACAGCGAGGTATCAGTCTCGATACTCTACTGCCCTGTCTTCTGGTTCTTCAATCCTTTTGCTCTGCTATTTCTAATCCCTATTAAGCACATCTATCGAGTTCTTAATTTCAGTCACTGTTCTATATTTCCTGTTTGACTCTTCAAAAAATGGATTCCAGGTTTCTGCTAAAACTTACCCTTTCCTCTATTTTTTAAAATATATTGATCATGGCTACTGTAAAGTTCCCTGTTTAATAACTCCAATATCTGAATCATTATGAGTCTGTTTCTATTGTGAGATTTTCCTCTTGGTTTCCGATCAATTGGCCCCTTTTATTTTCTTCAGGCTATCTTGTAAGCTTTGATTAGATGCCAGGCATTATAGAGGAAAATTTGTAAAGGCTCCAAATGATGTGTCCTCTTCCAAAGAGGGTCAGGTTTTCCTCCTGCTGCAGATTGGAAGCAGGCATTTTTCGGGCTGGTCCGTTTCAGTTTTGCCCCTATTCCCAGGGCGTGGTCTCAGAGAAAAGCCTGAGATGGTTACCAAGGCCTCTCTTGCCAACTTGGCAGCTTGGGTCTCCCCAGCATCCTATGCCTGCTGGAATCCTTGCTCAGTTCTCTAGCTTCCCAGATACTATTTTCTGCCGAGTTTCTTGGAGTCTCACCTTATGCATGTATAGCTTGCCAGTGACCAAAGAAGTCATTTGTAGATTTGGGGACTCCCTTCTCTGGCTTTTGTCTGTCATTTTCTAGACACTCTGACAGCCCCAGACTCCACCTCTGTCTTCTTGGTCTAGCGAAGATCTTTTTCTGTTTCATTTCTACTTCTCCACAGTAGCAACTTGGAAAGTGTACTCGAGGAAAAGCCCAGCTTGTCTGCAGAACTCAACTTCTGTGCTTCCCTAGTTCAAAGATTGTAGCACTTCAACTTTTTCTCTTGGTCTGCTGCCCTCGAGTGACTTCAAATAACTGTTTATAATCCATTCAGCTTTCACAGCTGTCATTGGCAGGGGGTTAAACAATGGACTCCATCGTGACCAGAGCTACAAAACCCCCGCCATGTCTAACAGATCACTAGATCTTGCTCACCCACTGGTAAATAGCCCCGAAATCCATCCACTCCGCTCCATCTGCAGGCTGACGCTCTAACGCAGCCACCTGCACCTTCACCTGGACAACCTCACCGACCTCCAGGTTGCTCTCTCCTTCCCTGTCTTCCCTCCATCACCACTTCCCTCCGTCCCCACATCCCTCCGCCATGACCTCCCACCATTCGCGGGATGAAGCCTATATTCCTCACCACAGCCTAGAAGGCCCTGTGTACTGTGACCCTGCCACTTTCACCAGCTCCTCTCACCCCACTGTCCCCTTTCCTCCAGCCATACTACTTCCATCCACCTCTGGGCCTTTGCATCTGTTGCTCCCTTTGCCTGGAAAACCCTTTCCACTGTCTTTTTAGCAGTCTGACTCCTACTCATCCATCAAGATCCAGCTTAGCTGCTGCTTCCTGTCAGAAATCTTCCCTGACCTGAGTTGATTATCTCCTTGAGGGTCCCACAGCCCCTACTCTTCACTCACCCCAGCCCTGATGACACTGATCACTCTGTTTCCCCCACCTCAGCCCTGACAGTTCTGGGCTGTGCTTCCCCATGACAGCTCTGACCTCTCTGGTCTCTGCTTCCCCTATTATGGTTTTGACCTCTCTGCCTGTGCTTCCCCCATCCCACCTCTGATTACTCTGGGAAGTCACTGTCTGGTGATGGGTCTGTCACACTCTTCCCCCTCCACGGGACTGTGAACTCCATAGGAGCAGGGCCTAAGGCTGTCTGGGTCACAGCTGTGTCCCAGTGTCACTTACATAAAAGATGTGGTTTAACCAGCTATTCTAGTCACCACAAGCAGGGTAAGATGGCATTAGAAATGGGGCTGATTTGTCAGTTATTAAATTACTGAATTGACAGCTGCTGCTCCAAGCTCTCTGGTGGACCCCATACCACTCTCAACTCTTTCTTTAAAAATCCTCATGTCCCCCAAATCTATCAGCTAAAGAAGCACCACCAGGCCCAGCAGGGGGTCCCCAAGGGCTTCTTCCAATTGATCAATGCCTTTTGCACTGACTGATCTTATTAAATATTTTTAATACTATCTCTTATTAAAAGCATTACTTAGACCCATCTGTTAAGCACATCTAACTGAGAGAGGAAGCTGGAGTCGCCTCTCTCATCACTTCCTTGAAAATGAGCATCTGACTCAGATCCCATCGACAGAGAAAAGTCTGAGGTCAGGCTGGATGGGAAGCGACACGAGAACAGTGTAAGCACAGGCTCTGCTTCCCGTTGGCATTGTGCCTGGCCAGGCCTTAACCAACTTCCTTCCTCATCGGGCCAGAAGGAGGAATATCTGCCTGGACGTCTCCATTCCTTCCCCATCCTTCCTCTCCTGTGGGAATTTGAGGAATTGGACTCTTTCTAAATCTTTTTCTTAAATTGACCAGAGCCTGAAGCCACAAAACTCAACACAAGTTTTTCCCCATCTTTTTCCACTGCCCAAGTCAAGGACGAGCTATTCTAGGGAACTTTCTGAGCCCACTACAGCCTGTGATCCCCTCCTCTCTGACTTCCTTTAAGAATTCTGAGTCTCTGGTATCTCTGGTCTTTGTATCCTGGTCCCTTAGCATCTATTGCCCGAACCATCTCCTGTCTTGTGGAAAAGGTTAGATGACAAATCACAGGTGAGATCCCTCATCTACCTCTCAAGTAGGTGTATTGTGTAGCTTCTTAAGGGCAGGTGTTGCATCTTACACTTAACAACCATAAAAACAACCACGTATGGGATGGGATATGGTTAGGGATGGGGCTGAGTTTGTGGGTGGGATTGGGGACAGTTTGAGATGAGATGGAGTTGATTTAGGGATGGGGTTAGAGGTGTGTTTGGAACAAGGATGAGTTGGAGTTGGAGGGTGTTAAGGGTAAAGTGACTTTGGGGATGAGATTGGAGGTGAGGTCGAGTTGGGGTTAGTCCTGGGGTAAGGCATGGAGTTGGGGTTGAGTTGGAGGTAGTTTGGGGTCAGGCACGGTAAGGGCTGTCCTACTCACCAGTGTTGGGCCGGTTGCACAAATCTAATCCACACACGGACTCTGTCAGGGTGATGATCTGCATGCCTATCCGATAGCTCATGGTCCTATTGGTCTTCTCTGGGTGGGCACAGCCTGTCTCCACCACCTCCAGCTCTTCACTGTCTGTGAGGAATGTATCTTTGTTACCCCAGAGGCTCCCCTGGGCCCAATCAGCCTCTAACACTCCTGGTCTTAAGGTCACCCACTCCTGTGGCTGATCCCCAGGCCTCTACTCTTGTTTGGGTCCAACTCTGTCTTTTCTAGAGTTATCCTCCCTCCCCACCCCTCACAGGGAGCCTACTCTCTCTCAGTAACAACACTATCACTGGGACCTTCTAGCTCCATCTCCCTCTCCCTCCCAGCTTAGTGATCTTAGAAGGGAGATGCCTCTAAATAGAAAATTTTAAAGGAAAACAAAGCTTACCCAAAAAGTATAAGAAAGTGATACAATAAATACTGTGCATTTGGCACCCAATTTTATAAAATATTAGCATCTTGCTTTATTTGTTTCAGATACTTTAAAAATAAACTAAAGTTAAAATATACAGTGAAAGCCTTCTGCTTACCCCTCCCCATCACATTCCCCTATGCCCTGTCCAGAGCCAACCACTGGTGTACGTCATTCTCACACCTGCTATGAATAACAACATACACTGCTGTTTTACATATTTTATACTTTATATTTAACGCTATCGTATTCTGCAACATGCTTTTTTCCTTTCAACTTTATGTTTCTGAGATGTATCCATGTAAATCCACGCTTAAACTGCTGCATAGTGTTTCACTATGTGATTACCCCATGTTTTCCTCTGCTGCTGAGTGACTTTAGGGTGTTTCCAATTCTCCGAATCACAGACATCGCTGCTAAGAACCTTGTTGTATGTGTGCCCCTGGGCACAGGCGGCCAAGGTTCTCTGGTGTTTCTATATTCCTAGGAGCTGAAATGCTGACCGTGGGGCACTCTCATCTTTGCCTGCACTAGAATTTGCCAAATGTTTCGG